TCCCTTCCCTCCCTTTCCACTCCCCCCACCCCCTTTATATACACACATTTCATAATCTCAGTTTTACCTCAGGAACCTAGGAGAACAAGACTAACTCCTTGTCCACATGATAGCCCTTCAAATATTTAAAGACTGTATTACATATTGTTTCAGAATATACTTTATCTTCCCCGCAAGGTTCTCTTTCTCCAGCTGGACATTCCTAGTTTCTTCAACTGATCATCTTACGACATAGCTTCTAGTTGTCTCGCTCTCCTAGTAACTGTCCTGGACATACCTCATCATGTCAGTATCACTTCTGAAATGCCCATAATTTTCAAGAGATGGTCTGCCCAAGGGCAGAGTATGATGGGAGTATCACCTTCCTTGTTATGGACACTCTGTTTCTATTAATGAAGTGTATTATTTCTTTTAATATAGGTTCTGAACTAATGACCTTTTCTGCTATCCTTTGTGTCATAGAGGTTATCCTTAGTTCTCAGAGGCTATGCGGGTAGGTCACAAAATCTGGTAAATTCTGTCAACCTAAAAAGTTTCCCAATATGGGCCTGATAATGTCCTGTCAGGATTGGCCTTGCTCAATTCAGAGAGGACTGTCAATAGAAGTTTGGCCACTAGATCATAAGTTTTTCATGGTAAATCACAAAACTAACTACTAAGACTACTGATGCTGACAAAAGAAAAGGGGGACTATAATTGATGTCTCTACCTTCTTGCTTGTTTAAATTGTCATTGACCTATCATAAGTTATCACTATTTTGGGTCTAATTATTAAGCCAGTTCTAAAAGTCTGTCTAACTCAGGCAGAGCCTTGATGGCAGAGTAGCGAAAAGTATATAGTGAGCTCCTTCTTCCTCTTCCAACCCATCTTCCCACCCCTATACAACCAGATCTAGAAAATACACAAACTGAATCATGATAGGGAAATCTAAGGGAAAAAAAAATCAGAATGAGTCATTTTCCCAGCCCGGGTCAGTATAGGGATATAGACAGTCTACAGATACTGGGGATGGAGTCTGACCAGGAGTATGCCAAATAGAGCAGCATTCCAATGCAGAGAGAGGCTGTGTATCAAGGCAAGAAAAGGTTCTAGATCCAGCATAGAAGGCCTGGGGTATAGGAATGGGAAGAAGAATCTATTGGTTACCCAAATGAAAACTTCCAGGAAATAAATTATAGCCAGCATCCAGAGTTTCCAGGTTAAAAAAAAATTATTGCAACCAGCTTAGAATAAGAGGGCTTAGAACACAGTATTCCAGGGGAATAAAGGATATAGGCTTACAACCAAGAATAACTTATCCAGCAAAATGGAGTCTAATGCTGCAGGGGGGAAAACACGTCTTTAATGAAATAGAGGATTCCAGGCATTCCTAATGAAAGTACTAAAGCTGTTTAGAAACTTTGAAGTGCAAACACAGGAGTCAAGAGAAACATTAAAAAGTAAAAATGAACAAACAGTCATAAAGGATTAAACAAAGATAAACATTTCTTACATCCTGATGTGGGAAGATAGCATATGTGTCACCTCGGAACCGTGTCATCATCAAAGGGTCATAGAGGGAGTCCTATGCAGACGCAAGAGCTGGAAGAGTTCTGTTATGTCTTGATGATGTTAAAAGAAGAATGGAAAGGGGGGGAAAGAGGAATACACTTTGGGTGGGAAAGTGAGGAAAGTTAGGGAAAATCATCCCACATAATCAGGGTAGAAATCTACAAACAAAGAGGAAGGTTAAAGGGTAGAGGTGTGACTGACCCTTAAACTTTACTCTTTTCTGAACTGGTCAAAGGAGGAAAGAATATACACACACGCATATACACAGTTGGGCATAAAAATAGATTTCATTCAACAGGGAAATAGGAACAAAAAGGGAGAAGGGGAAATTGGAGGGCATGTTAAAGGAGAGGCTAATCTTAAGCAAGATAAACTCTAAAGGATGTACAAAAATATAACTTTTTGCAATGACAAAGAATTGAAAACTGAGGGGGAGACAGTGCTATGAATTGAGGAATAACAACAAGTTATGGCATATGAATATGGTGGAATATTATTGTGCTGTAAAAAGTGATGAAGGGAATGGATAAAGAGAAACCTGGAAAGACTTGTATAAACTGATGCAAAAATGGGCAGAACCAGGAAAACAATTTATACAGTGACAATGATATGGCAAAGACAAACCTTTTTAAAAGACTTAGGAACTCTGATTAGCATAATGACTAACTTTAATTCCAGAGGGCTCAATAATGAAACATGCCATCCACCTCTTTGGAGAGAGATGAAAGACTCAGTGTAAAATGAGACTTTTTTTAATGGCCAGTTCAGAAATGTGTGCTGTTTTGCTTAACTATAAATGTTAGTAACAAGGATTTTATTTTTCTTTCTTTCTTGTTGGGGGTGAAGTATAGGAGCAGGAGGGAATGAAAGTGGATTTTTGCTGATTGGAAAAAAATTACCCCTTCATCATATCTATAAGAATGTCTTAGGAGACTTTGTGTCAAGTATCTTGCTGAAATCTCAGTATGCAATATTTATAATGTTCCTCAAACCTACCAATCCAATATGAGATTAATTTGGCATATTTCATTTCTAGTGAACCCACACGTACTTGTAGTAATGACCATTTTCCTTTCTAAGTGCTCCCAAACTATGTCTTCAATAATGTGCTCTGACTCCTTGACCAGGAATCAAAGCCAGGCTCATCAGCCTTTATTTTGAAGAGTCTACATTCATCTTTCTTTTTGGTAAATTGGAACATTTACTTGTCTCCTATTCTGCAGCACTTTGCTATAGTCTTCTTCAGTTTTTCAAACATCACCAATAGAGATGTGACCAGTGGTCACATCACCAAATTCTTTCAGTCTTCATCTAGTTTACTTGAACAAATACATTAATCCCTGGCGTATTGCTTGTGCTGGCCTCATGACTTGAACTTGTTTTGTTCTCTTGGGTTCTCAACTTATCATGAGTTTCAGATTCTCTAGAGAATCATTTTTGTTCTATCCATAGTAGAGAAAACAGAAGTAAAGTGAGAACTGAGCTATGCTGCTGCCTTCTGTTGGGTACCATTGGCACCCAGGCCTTTGTTTTTCCTCTTGCCCTCTGTGCTTCTTTGCAGAACAAAATGAAATACCCCTTTTTGTTATCCAAAACATTTGTGACAAATTTTAACTCATTCTGAGCTTTAACTTCCTGACATCCTGGATAGACCATGTTAATTTTTATTATGCACCTTCATCCACCCTCCTGTTTTTCATCTTCTCTTGGTGTCTTTCTTGAATCTGAGTTTATTGGTCTTTCCTGTGTAGTCATGTTGATGTGTTTAGAAATATTTCCCTTTTTTTCCTTTTCCAAATTTCATTCTTGGGAAAGTTTTGTCCCTTTTCACTGGACTTATTTTGTATTTTACTTTGTATCTCTACTGACTTACAGTCCTTATGAACTGTTGGGGTAAGGAGACAGTGTAGCATTTTGTAGGCATTTATAACTTCCTTTGGCTTCCTTTTTGATCTACTTTTTGAATTAAATGTGTTAAATGATAAAAGATACTTAAAATACTTTGTCAGTAGATAAAAGGTTCTATTATTTTGGATAGTTTACTTTAAATCTGTCTTCTGATATTTTTAAGTGTTTTAGCAGTTCTGCAGATAGAGGAAACAAGGCATAGTGAAGTTAAGTGATTTTAAAGTGATATCTTTTCAGGGAATATGAAGTTTGGGTGACTAGCTGAGGGCTCTAGTCACAGGAATATGTTCATTTGATAGATAAATAGCACATTTGCTAAGTGTTTGCTGTGTGCTAGGCACTGAGGATAACAATATAAGCAAGCAATTTCTGTCTTCAAGGAGTTTACATTCTAATTAGAGAAGATTCTTGCTACATAAAGAGGAACTGGAAGTTGTGGGACAGGGTTGGCACATAGAAGAGAGCTTACTATGCAGCAAGGTAGAGGTTTGACTCCAGACATGATAAAACAAAGGCTTATATATCAGAGCTAAGGATAATTCTCAGGGGTCCAAATTTCTAGGGAAGAAGAAGTGGGGATGGTGGCTAGAGTATAGGGAGCATGGTTTGGAGATGGCAGCAAGAAGTGAGGTGGAGGCTTAGTTTTGGACAAGATGAGGCAGAAGCTCAAAGTGAATTCCAAGTTTTCAATAGAGAGGAGGCCAAATTGGTGGGCAGATGGACATGGTTCAGAACTGGTGGCCAGAAATCCATTTGGAGAATGGATTTGTCTTTGTCTTGATTAAGTTGTTTAGGCTTTTGTGTGTATTCATAATTTTTTATATGTAATCATATACCTGTATAGACCCCTTCATTAGAGGGTCTTATTATTCTTCACCTGCAAGAAAAGTAGCCATCTCTTCTTTTAGTAGAGATGTAATATATTCCACAAAGATTCCTCTGAAGAGCCAAGAGTAGAAAACTCAATATATAGTTTTTCTTCTGTTCTAAAGTTTTTAAGGGTAGAAGTAATGATAGAGTATTTCTTCATGATACTGACCCCAATGGGACTAGTGAGATTGAGCTTAGGTGGTAGGTATTTCAAGATCCTTGAATGCCTTTGTTAAGCCAGCCAGCCCTGCTGGTGAGGTGTGGTATTGAGTTCTAAAGTACTGTCAATAGGTAGCCTTATTGGTGATAGTGCTGAGAATGATCCAGATATAAGGCAAGGGAGAAACTGAATCTTCTTTTGCCAGGATTAAGAATGTTGTATACTGCTCAAGGACACAATTGGGGCTACTTTTGGGGGTGCTGAGGTAAAAAAGGATTTGTTATTGTTGAACCACTGTCACTTATAACGTGCTGTCATCTGTCTTTTCCCCTGTAGTGGTAGGGAAAAGGGGGCAATTACAATTGTGAATAATAAGTGCTTGTCAATTATCTCCCATTTTACCACCAAGCCAGATGGTCAGTACTGGAGTCTCTTAGCTCATGTAATGTATTTCCTTTTCTATGTTAATAGTTACTAATGTGCTGCCTGTTTGTTTCTTGTTTTATTTAGGTATCATGTCCTTAGCAAGCTGCTGAGCTTCATGGCACCTATTGACCACACTACAATGAATGATGATGCCAGGTGAGTAATAGATTAATTATGTGTCTCAAATAGCTTCATGACAGCCTGATATTGACCTATTCTACAGCCTGTCGCCCTCTCCATTTCTTCTTATCAGTTAACCATTTGTCATTGGCATCATAGCAAGGGCCCTTGCGTCACATCTCTTCATGCAATCTAGCTGAACCCTTATTCTTGTAATTACTGTAAAACTAATTTGGGAATTTCCATAAACCTGGATTGCCACTGAGGGTTTTTTACCTTTAGTCCACTAGTCCCAGAACAATAGAACTCTTCACGAGGACAAAGAAAAAGATTGTGGAGTCACAGGTATTGGCTTCAGGCTGTGTCGGGGCTTCACTCACCATTCTGGAAGAAGTCATTGCACTAGGGGTTGTCATCATCAGTTCTTATTTTGGAAAGTGCTTCCCACCCGTTTGACAGGTGATAGATAAAACCATTTTTATAATTGAAAATAGGCCAAGTTCTTCTCCATACCTGGATTTTATTTTTTACATTGAGGTATGTGTGTGCATGGCATGCTAGTGTACCTGCTCCATCTCCTTTCCGCTACATCCTGAAAAGGGCAGTTCTGTATGTTTTTTTGGAGAGACTTATTAGCTGCTTGGAGAGAACAAGCATTTGGCTTTCCCAAAGTCTTAGGTTCGCAATCAAGATTCTTTTACCCAGGGATTGTTTTGAGCAGACTTTACCTCCCTCTGACCTCACTATGACTTCATATGAGCTCTCAAAAGAGCACCTGTATGGCTGGCTTTTAATTTTTGTTGATCTCTTCATGCCATAGAAACTGAAGAGCAACGTAGACACATCAGTCTGTCTGTGAAGCTGTTAGAGAATGATATATTCATAATAACCTCTTCTATTTATGGTTTACAGAGTGCTTGTTTTACAACAGTGCTCTGAGTTAAGTAGTGCAGATAGAAACATCTCTGTTTTACAGATGAGGAAAATAATGCTCAGAGAGGTTATGTCACTAGCCCAGAATCACATAGCTAGTAAGTGGCAGACTGTCAGATCTTTTGTCTTCACTACATTGCCTCAGGTGATACCAGTAGTTTAGCCTGATTTAGATCGTAGTGATTCACACTGATAGAAAACATTTCTTCTTTCTCGTTTGACATTATTTTACCATAGGGGGCATTCTGAATGATGTCAACATTAATTACCAAATGATAATGAGGAGTAGCAACAAAATAATTTGAAACTTAAAACCAGAGTCTTTTAGATTTAAACAATGATGTTAATAGTACTTTTAGGACCATGTTAAATTTTTATTTCTACTGTTTTTAGTCAGATTTTTCTTGGGCACAACTTTAGCATGGAAATAAGCTTTCCAGTATTTGGCAATGAGAGTTAGAAACAATTCCCTGATGTACAGTCTTTATGGAAACAAGGTTATGGCCTCTGAATGGGGACTAATTGCTAGTTAGCCACATCGTTTTCACACGACTGATTTATCCAGTCACAATGAAGAGATTTTGTAAAAGCCTTGTTTTATGATGATTAATTGTAGCTGGGGAACTTCTGTGTGTGGAGTTCCACCAAACTGCACTTCATTTCCATCAAGTCTCTGATGGATGCGATGGCATGCATCCACAGCCACATCACAGCTCAGCCAGATTGGTGGAGATCTGATTGTGTATGTGCTCTGTGGCCTGCAGGAGGCTGGCCAGGATGCTCTAAGAAGAGCTGGAGAGACAAGAGCAGTACCACAGTTTTCATTGACGGTATTTGGATTGGTATCTGGATTTACCTCCAGAGAAGAGTAGTTGGTAAAAGCCTTTCTTTGTTTCTGTGTGAAGAACCCCTCATAGGATCCTATAGATTTAGAGCTGGAAGGGACTTTCAAAGATGACTTAATCCAGCCTCTTCATTTTACCGATGAGGAAACTGAGGCTCAGAGAAGTGGAATCCCTTGTGTAGAGACACAACAAGGGGAGGAAGTTAGGGACAGGGCCAGAATTCGAATCCTGATCCACTGACTCCTATGTCAATGCTCTTTCCATGCTGTATCTCTTCTAATCCATCCTGTGTCCCATTGAGTAGGAATTGTTTGTGACATTACTTACTATCAAACCTAAGAGATGGGGAGCATCTTCCATTGAAGTGCCCCACTCAGATCCAATTTAGGTTGAAATATCAATGCCATAGAAGGCAGCATATTCTAGTAGAAAATGAAAACCCTGCATTTGACCTTAGGGGAGGGAGAGACAGAGACAGAGGCCTCCCTGGCTTGGAAGCATATTTCAGATGCTTACTAGCTGGGTGCTCATAGATAGGTAAGTCACTAACCACATCTGTCAAAGGGGAATAAGGATGCTTGCACTACCTACTGAACAAGCTTGTTCTAAGGGTGTTTCACAAACCTTAAAATGCTGTTGAAACATGTCATTCCTGTTGAGTAGCCCAGTGGGAAAGAAGAACTTAAGGAAATCTTAACATATACATGATAACTGGGCTGCCTTGATATTTCTTCACCTGGGCATGTAGTGAAAGAGTCCTTATCTTTCATAGTTTCTAACACCTGGCAGTCATGTCCCTCTGGTGTCATTTTCCTCTCAGTCAACCCTGAGGGCTTTTGCCTTTTCTTTTCTTTTCTTTTCTTTTTTTTTTTTTTTAAGGCAATTGGGGTTAAGTGACTTGCCCAGGGTTACACAACTAGTAAGTGACAAGTGCTTGGTCTGAGGCCAGATTTGAACTCAGGTCCTTCTAACTTCAGGGCCAGTGCTCTATCCACTGCGCCACCTAGCCACCCCACTTTTGCCTTTTCTTAGGACCTCACCTGGTGCCCTCAGCTCCCTTGGATTGGCCTCATTCCTACCCATTGGACTTAGCAAAGTATTTCGTGTCTTTCAAGTAGTTAAATTAATGATTTTAATTGTGTCATTCATTCAACAAATATGTAATTGAGTTTCACTGTGTGCAAGCTGCCACATTAGGCTTGTCTTAATTGCTGGGAATTTCTGTTGTGAATACCCATGTGTGACTATGTGTAGATAATTTAATGTGATTCATTTTTACTAATAACTCATTTTTGCCCTTTGTCTTCACAATGGTAATTTTTCTCTTTAACTCTGATTAAAACTTTACCCTTTCTCTTACCATGTGCACAGTAGCCCAACTTGATTACCCAATTCCCTAACTAAAGCTTGTTTTCCAAGGGATACACAGGTTGTTAATTTTTGTTAGCTTTATGTTCTGGAGGTGTCTTTTTTGTAACAAAGGATATGTGCGACTCATGCAACTTTGGACATGTTGTTTGTCAGAACATGACAAGTGGTTGCACTATGCCTCTGTACTTGCTCTTCTTATGCCAAGGGACCCAAAAGAAGATGGCACCTCTCTGAAAGCAGCATTGGCTGCTGCTGTCATTCTCGATGCTCAGCTGCTTGGCTTGACTTTCCATATGATCTTCTTCCTTCTTGGCATGGGACAACCTCCCAAAGGAGCCTTTGTTTGCCCTTCAGAATCTTCTTTACAAATGGAAACTTCGTCCCGTAAGCCTGCAGAGACACAGAGTTACAGAGACTCTTTAGGAACTTCCTACTACTCTGTTGGTTATTAGGTTGGTTATTACATTTCTTGAATGCTTTACAGAGTCACTTGGAAGGAGCAGGGTATTGGGGCTGCTGAGTTCTTTGCTCACTTTTCTGAGTATTGGAGTTATTTATAAATTTATTCAAGACATATTGAAGGACAGAGTAGACTATCCAGATGCTAAGAACCAGGAGGAGGAGTGAAAAAAAGGGGGTATCTGTCAGACAAACCAGTGAGAGTATAAAGTAAAAGTCAAGAAGCCATCTTTTTCTTGTGTGGGTAGTAGGAAGATCACTAGTCAGAAGACCTTGCTCTGGTGTTTATTATATGACTAGGAAAGTTATTTAAACTTCCTCAGTCTCAGTGTCTGCATCTTTATAATGGGGATGAGGAAAACCTTTTACAAATCTCAACACACTACATAAATGTGAGCAGTGACTGCTACTGCTGCTGCTATTTTTGTTGTAGTAGTAGTTGTTAATAGGAGAGACATGGTGGCTAGGAAATGATCAAATGATTTTTCCATATATTCTTTGACATATCTTCTAAAAGGTGCTAACTTTTAGAAGTGTACTAAACTGCTAGTCCCTCTCTCTTTAGCCTGCTGGGAGGTGAGGAGAGTAAGTGAAAGTGTGTTGGTACAGGATGGAAAGGGTTGGAGGTCTGGGTAGTATCCACTTCAGAAGTAGGAAAGTCTAAGTACTTGCTTACAGGTCTCATCCTTCAAGCAGAAAGGCAACATTCTCTGCTTGTTGCCTCTTACACAAAGCTGGCAGCAGTGGCGGGGAGGAAGGGCTAGTTAAGGACAGCTTGCTTATGTGCCAGTGAAAATTGTCTTCCATGCTAGAAGTTACCCAGTCATGGTTTAAGTATTGAAAGGAAGATCATAATTGTATGTACTCTTCCACTATCCTATTCTTCTGAAACTTAGATTATGGTAATATTAGTCGTTTGTCAATGTCATCCTTTAGAGTTAAAAAAATTTTTCTTTCTTTTTTTCCCTTGTTACCCTTATAATATCTCGTTTGGTTTAATTCATTCTAAATTTTTCTTTTCAGTTACAAATTCTCTCCCTCCCCCTTCCAAATCCATTACAAATATATATAGTTATGCAAAACAAATCTCAACATTAACCTTGTGTCCGTCCCATCTCTCAGTCAGTGTTCTGAGTCTGTCAGTTGTCTTTCTGGAGGTAGATAACATCATCATGAGTCCTCTGGATTTGTGGTTGGTTATTGTGTTGATCAGAGTTACTCAGTCTTTGAGTTGATTTATCTTTATAGTATTGCTTTTTGTTGTTGTTGAGTTGTTATTTCACTTGTGTCCAATTCTCTGTGACCCTGTTTGGGGTTTCCTTGGCAAAGATGCTGGAGTAGTTAGCCATTTTCTTCTCCAACTCATTTTATGGGTGAGGAACTGAGGCAAACAGAGTTGAGTGGCTTGCCCAGGGTCACATAGCTAAT